TGGTCGTGTGTTGCTAGGCCGTGTTTGGTGGGAGCCGCCGCGTCGTAACGATGGTGACCTTGGGGATGCGTCACTCTCTGCACATGTACTTTTTCTTCTGTCTGGGCGCGACCTGACCTGGAGTAAGTCTTTTTGCCAAGCCCACTGGTTTCGACTCGAAATGCTGACCGTTAGACCCGAATTCGACGTTGTTAAATGGATTATCGGTTGCTGTGCTCATAAGGGGCAATTTTTAAAGGCGGTGCCTTTTTGGAATAGCGACGTCAAGATTGCCAAAAATTTTCGTTCCCTTTCGGACTGGTTGGCATTTGACCCACCTATTCAATAGTGAATTTTACGGGAGCACGATGAAGTGATCCTATACGAGAGAGGTCCTTGGTTGGCTGCTGATCAGGTGGCAGTTGTGCTGTTCGCCGCGCGTGACAGATGGCTTATAAACGTTTCGCCATCCGGCGAGTGACAATACACAAATCCTTTTTTGACGAGTGTAAATTGCTCATCGCTTCATCTGGAAGCACCGAAACCAGAATTTATCTTCGCTTGTCACTCACAGCACATAACTGAGCGACATCATTCAACGAATGAACCATATTTGTCTCCCTGCTGTGTTGTACAATTTATTTTAGTGTCAGATTTGAGTAAGTAAAAGTGCCGAAGACACCCTAAGAATGGTGGTCGGTAACCTTCTGATTATCCATCTTACTATACTCGTTGCGTAATCCCGGTTAAAAGAACGCACCAATCAGCCCGTCCATCACTCACTCAGTGAAGCAATCGACTTAAACGGCCAGTTTATCTCGGATTCGGAGACTGTAAACGGTTAGCTGAAGTAGGTGATAAAATACCAGTCATCCTGATATATGTTTACATTCCTTTTTTTCAACAAGACAGAGTGCGTTACTGCAATTCTTTCCACCAAGTATGAACTTCCTATGAAGTAAAAAAAATGACGATATCTAAGAAAGGCGGGCTGTGTTGAAAATCCGACCAACAGGTGTCCACATATGGTTTTAGGAACAGATGTTTACATACGTCAGGAAGTGTGACGGAAAACAGAAGACGGCGCCTTCTGAGCGATGATAAGTCCTTTTTTGAACAAGAAGTACACAGATTTCATTGGAATTTGTTTGCCTTCTAAGGCGAATTCCAAAAAGACGGCTCAGCTTCAACTTGGATAATTCGTTATAACATAAAGCGCAAACAAATTTGGGCGAAACCAGTTGGGGTGTTGTTACTGCTCCTAGTGTTCGTAACCTTCTCCAGTCCAATTCAAGATTCTTCTGAATTTCGACTGACAAAATACAGCACAGTTTTCTCCACGAAGAGAGACCATCAAGTGAAAAAGTTCTCCTTGGTTTTCCCCGTGCGGCGAACTCTTCCCGGGAGTACTTTGTACGATTTAACATCAATGTACCAGACTATTTGTATAAACACAAAATAACTTGTATTTTCAGACAAAATATCGGTTACTGCTACAATGCAAACTGTCCTGTGATTGGAATAGTTTCTCCGCATTTCATCTGTAGTTTTTTTTATTGTTTCGACCTCTCATTTTCACAAGACACTCTTCGGAATGCCTATTCATGTCTAATCTTATCCCAATGAATGTAGCCGTTAACCGATATCGAATAGCAACAAAGGATCACGACCTTTTGTACTATTGTCTAAAATTCACGCCCAAGAACAGCTCCAACTTGAAAATCCGCTTGTCTTTAGTTTAGGTGACCGCAAAGTCATTACTGACAGTTTACAACAGCCTTTATTCACAACCCCGGGATCTATTTCCCAGAATCCGCCTTCACTTAAAAGATGAAAACATCACAAACGAGAGATTCAGCTGCATTCCAGGTGAGTCTCTCGAAAAACCAAATTAGTTTGCAAATAAGTGTATATTCGCTAATTTGGTGCAATTTGGTTTCAAGTAGAGCATAAGGTTGACGGAAACCCGGGGACTGCGCCTACTTGATGAGCCCCAAAAAGGGCAAAACCGGTCGTGGGCTGTCGATGGATTTTCAACAACCTTATGAGTAGTACATTACAAATAAAAGATGAATTATTTATGTTCTGCCTTTAGGCACTTGGTCACCGATACCGTCGTAACAAACCGGGAGTTATTTAACTGCGCTGTGACCTCGACGAAGGAACGTACGAGCGAGAACTCAATAACGAAGCGAAATCGCTGGTGCGTGATATAAGGCTTTTTAAGCATTCTGGACAAATGCGGGCCTCATCAAAATCGATTAAAAAACGTAGTTATCCATTCTAAACCCAAATGACGAAACTTCCGCGGGAAAGGCCATGACATGATGACTGACTAAATCCACATTAGTCTTCTTGCCTGTGGTCAGGATCCCCATGGAGCATGGCACACAGCTGTTGTTTTCCCGGACGCCCATCACAAAGTGTTCGTTTCACTCTAGGGGAATCTCAGTTTACTCACACATTTTTTGGAGCATGAGGCTCATGGCTCTATTTCGGAGGTTAAAATCAATCCTCTTGGAGTAGAATCCTGGGCAGTTATCCATTAGGCGACTGTACGGATGGCTGAGGAAATGGCTTGCCGTGGACCTTCTTTCTTCGGAGGGGGTTAGTAGATCGAAAGGTCAAAAATCGACCACGGTTCAAACTCATGTAAATGATTATTTCAGAAAATAGTACCAAATCAATTAAAATGTTGAGCGATCAGCTGCCGTAGCCGATGGCCCAGTGAGGTGGGGCACAGACTACTGCGTGGTTGTTCGAGTTCGGTGTAGCCGTTTTAACAAGACAGATAGTCTTTGTTTGGCATGACAGCATGTTATAGCAGCCTTGTGTAGTCTTTATCCACTATGTGGATAGTTCAGAGAGACGTTCTAGTGAGTACGAGACAAATCGAGATGGCCTACC